GGAGGGTGACCACGTCACGGGCCACCGCCCGCGCGGGAGAGAGGGGGGGACAGGGCGCAGCAGGAGGCCCCTGGAAGGCGAGAGGGGGGGGTGAAACGGACCAGTATAGATGGCAGTTCGGGTCATCTCATCGAAGGATGACTGCAGATCCGACAAATGGCCAAATGCTTTCTACACTCGCTGCAGGGTCAGACACGTTCGAATGGACAAAAGGGGACAGGGGCAGGAGAGGGGCATTGCCGCTGAGAAGAAAGGAGAAAGGACCAACCTGGAAGTAGAGACCCAAATAGTTGACCGCATCTTTGTAGGTGTTGTGCGCGATGTTCCGGTCGCGCGTGGCATGGAAGGAGTCCTCGGATGCATGGTCCAGCACGGCATTCAGCTGTCGCAGAGCATACTCGCAAATCTCGAGGAAGTCACTGTGCGGGAAGTCTTGACGTGGCGAAGAAGGGAGTCAGTGCGGGGGACGGGGGGGGGGGGGCGGCCAGGCCGGCCAACCATGCTGGCGATTCGTGAAATGTGGGCAAGGGGGACGCATGCCAGCTCAGACACACCGGGGGGCGTATCTTGGTGCGGCTGGGCGTCATGTGCGAAGCCAGCGCCAGTGGGTGCAGGCTTCTGCGCAAACTCCAGCACGTCAACCAGGGGCTTGGTGAAGGTCCGGATGAAGCTCTGCGGGTCGAAGCTCTCACTCTGCGAGGTGGCACGGGCGGAAGGAGGGTCAGATGACGGTGGAAAGGAAACGACCAGGAAGAAGCGAAACATGGACAAGGGGCTATGGCGACCATGCGCACCTCGAAGTAGTCGATGTTGATGGCGGACAGAAGCAGACGGATCTCGCGTTTGGCCGCGTCGATGCGCTCCGCCTGGCTGGCCATGGTCCTCGCAGCAAGACAGACGGGAAGGGCGGCGCGGGGGGGGGGGGGGGGGGGAGGAGCGGCAGGGACAGAGGGCGAAGGAGGGGACACAGGGGATGGGAGAGGAATGACCCACGGGCCAAGACCGCCCATTGGCCGCTGGGGGCGCACTCGACTCCTCGGAAAGGCCCGGCGCCCGCCTGGCAGAGGAGGGAGCAAGGCCAAAAAAAAAAAAGGCACCCCGGGCAGCGGGGGTGCAAGGAAGAGGAGTCCGAAACACTCCCCCGACCCCTGGGGCGCGGGCCAATCGGACCGCCCCCCCCCCCCCCGCCCGCTGTGCACAAGGACACCACGCACCTTGGCACCGGATGTTCCGAAATCCACGCTAGCCGCCAACTGATGGGGAGGAATGCGATACGACGATGCGAGTTCTGGAACATCAGATCGCATCTTAGCCCACAACGATTGGCCATGGCGGGGGGGGTGTTTTTTATTTTATTTTAGGATGCGCCCCGCGGAAAGGCATCCCCCCCCCCCTGACATGAAGCCCCGGCGCCCGTCCTTTTTCATCTGCCTCGCCTGCTTTCTCCCGCCTCCTCCGCTGCCTCTACCCTCGCTTCACCGGCTCTCTTGATCTTGCTCGCTTGACTTTCCTTTTCCCCAGCGTCATATCACGCTGCCTGTAGCCGGCCGATCTGAGCCCGGGCCTCGTGCGTAGCTACACACTCTGCGCCCGGACATTTGTCCGACGGGAGTGCCTCCCCGTTCGCTGCCCGATCTTTTCCATATGGGCTACTGGTCGACACGCGCCGATCGGCCGAGCATCGGCGGGGGGCCCCTTCACGGCCTCTCTCCCCTGCCCCGGTGTAGTCGTCGCATGGCTCGCTTTTCCACTCGACGGATAGTCACCCTGATGGGGCTTGTACGTGGACTTGCGCCCCGGTGGCACTTCGGCATTCCCGCATGCTGGTTCACGGGTTTTGACCCAAACGCTCCCACGGCCGCCCGTTTGGCATCCTGCTCGGCGCTCTGTCTGCCCCGTCCTTCCGGCTGGAAAAGCTCGCCCTCGGGACCCTTGGCTACTTAACCCTCCTGGGTGGCCGACCAGCCGGCCAACCAGCCCAGCGGTCGCCAGCCACCGGCTCCAGCCGACCCGAGGGCGGATCCCTCATCCGGCAGGTGCTGCAACGCCAGCCCCACCGCGCTGGGGCAACTGCGCAGTCGACCGGCACGGACCCTGGCCAGGGCATGGCCCTCGATATGCAGGCCCTTCGAAGCCGCTGGCTCTTCCGACACTTTGATGAGCACTCGCCAGTCTGGCAGCTGGCCGTCGGCGAGGACAGGTTTGTTCGGGCCACGGCGTGGGGGGAGGGGGCGAAGGGGGAGAATGCACACATTAAGAGATTGAATGGGCCCTTTCTTTTCACCCCCCCCTGCGTCATCCTCCATTGCAGGACCACCGGCGGCCGGGGAATGCTGCCCGGGCCCTGGCGGCTCGGGCCGTCGGGGACCGTCCCGCCGCAGACTGACTCATGCACCCTCCCAGGACCGAGCCCCTGCGGCCAGCGATCCCCGGGCTGGAGGACGCCTTCCTTGGGTGCTTCGCCGACCGGGTCAATGGCCGGATCGGGCGCGCCCTGCCGACCCTGGTGGACCCGGCCGGCACCGGGCACTTGAAGCCACCGGTGGATCCGGTCCAGTGCTTGGGCTACTGCCGGGACCAGGGCTTCGCCTGGGCCGGCTTGCAAAATGGCACCGAGTGCTGGTGCGGGTCGCCAGCCGACGAGGATGCCGGCGCGCGACACCCCCGCTACCGGCATTACTCGGCCCATGAGCCCGGGCTATGCTCGGTGGAGTGCCCCTTCCTTCCGGGGGTTGCCTGTGGCGGGCCCCTGGCCAACAGTGTCTATGCCGTGGGCCCGGCCGCGGCCCCGGAACCGGTCTCCTCGCAGGCCATGCTCCAAGGGAATGCCGCCTTCGGGGCGGTCCTGCCGCAGGTTCGAGTCGATGCCGGGAGCGATGTCGAGCGCTTCCTGCCATCGGACATTGACTGCATGCGCGAGCGCGATGGGACCCGGTATGTGACCCCCGGCGCAATGATGGCGAGCCTTTCGCCAGGGACCCAATGCTGACCGACCAATGCCTGCCACGCCGTCATTCCTCGTCTCCCGGTCTCTTGGGCCCTCCTCCCCCGGGGCCCTGCCTGTGCTGGCCCCGCGCATGTCCCCAGGCTCTGCCTCATTCGGAACCTCTACTTCAATGTCGACCAGGGGACCTTTGTGCTGCTGCTGTCCCAGGGTCGGTCCGTTGTGCGGGGCCTGGATGACACGACCCGCGGCGAGTTCCAATCGATTGTTCAGTTCAGCACCGTGTCGAATGCCTACAAGGTGGACCTGAAGATCATGGACCATGGCAACATTCGCAAGTATCCGAAGTACACGCAGCTGGAGAACCGGGTACACCAGGGGCCTTGGCGCCCGACCGTGCCACGCACACACACATGCACACACATGCACGCACATGCACGCACATCCACACACAGATACATACTCAAACACATATGCATACATGCATACGTCCTTCAATATCTTGAATTGACCCATAAGCCCCTTGTCAGATCATTCGCGGCCGGAGCTACTTGCTGGCGCGCTTCTTGCCATACAACTTGATGCACACCATTCATGATGACCTGCTCGGGCTCCTGCACACCATGGACGCCTGGCAGCCCCGCCATGGACGCACGCCGGCCGAACAGGCGGGCCTCTCGCACACCGTCGACCGGGACCTGCGCCGGGTGCAGGAAGCCCCAGGGCCCGGCCGAGGCCTGCATCCAGATGTGGCGGATGAACTCCATCGGAGCCTCCCGTTTGACCACAAGTAGGTTACCGTGGCTTGTGCTTGCTGGCCCGGACTGTTGCCGTGCCTTTTCTTTCCCCCCCCCCCCCGCCAACCCCCTAACATGACGCGTCGCCCGCTTGGCCACCAGCATCATCCTCTTCGATGACCATGCCGCAGGGGACTACCTTCCCTTGCTGCAGCTGTTTTCCGATCGCAAGGTCATGAGCTTCGTCGACTTCCCCCGGGGGTCGCTCATCCGCTTTGAAGTGCGCCACGCATGCCTCGCTCCCCCCCCCCCTCCCCCCCTCTGCCTCGCCCTCGCCCGCGGACCCGGTGGCGTCGTCGCAAACCCATCCCCCTCCCCTGTGGCCCGGCTCGCTTGCTCACCTCTCGCCCGGCCGCCACGCCGCAGGAGGCATCCATGGGCCTATCCCGCAAGGGAACTTGGTATCACTATGGCTTCAACTCGCCCCAGGGTCCGCTGCCGCACAAGAACGTCGCCGGCCCGCAGGTGACCTCCCTGATGAAACTCCTGAACCTGCGCCTCGGCCTGGCTGGCCGGCGCTTCCCGGGGCACCACCTGCCATCCGGCCCGGCGTCCAGCCTGGACATGGGGGCCCCCTCGGCGGCCTTCTGTCCGGAAGTCGCGGGCAGCTCGGTCCCGAGCACCGGCGTCGGGGAGATTCTCATCCTGGGCCGGTCGCGCGATCGGCGCATCCTGAACGAGATCCAGCTGACCGGTACGGGGGACTAGCTCTTCGCAAGCGGAGGCGCACGAGGGCCCCTGCCTTTGGCGGCCCCCTTGCCGGGGGCTCCCGCGTCTCCATCCAGCCGAGCACCATCCCCCAGTCTTGCTAACCCCCGTTCGGCTTGATGCAGAGGAACTTGCCCGCGAGACGGGCCTCTGCGTGGCGGTCCTCCGCCTGGAGAATGTGCCCTTCTTCAATGTGTCCTCGTTGAAGAGCTTCATGACTCGCCTGGCCGGAGCACGCATCATAGTAGCCATGCATGGGGCGGCCCTGGCCCTGGCAGCCCTGGCCCAGGCCCCCTCGGCCGCTTCCCACGAGCAGGAGCACCAGCCCGGCGGCTGGCTGGTAGAGGCCACCCTGCGGGACCATTTGCTCCTGGAGGCGGCCAGCATGGCAGCCAGCCCGGTTCAGCACCCTCGCGGGCCGCGGCTGCCCACCACCCCCGGCGGCGTCATTGAGCTCTTTCCCTTTGGGGTGCAGCCGGAAAATTACACCCCCTACATGCATGAGTGCCGCATTGCCGGGTGCATCTATCGCGCATGGGCGGTACGTGGCCATGTGGCCTTCTCGCTGACCCCTGTCCCGGACCAGGCACCATGCTCCTCCGAGAGAGGGGAAGAGAGAGAGCGAGAGAGACCTCCACCTCCGCCAGTATCGCCTCCCCGCCCTGCCTCCACGCCAGCCTTACCTCTCCTGCGCCTGGATTCCCGCCCGCCCGCCCGCCCGCCCGCTACAACGCCCCGATGCATGGACGCTCTTCGCCCAATAGAATTCCGATCGACGGGCTTCCGTTCCCCACCCCAAGCGTGCGCCATTGAAGGGCGGCATCGTGCACTTGCCGCCGGCCGAGCAGCGCAACATCGAGCAGGCCACCGCGGTCCCGCCGCACATCTGCTGCTCCGACCCGACTTGGCTGTACAAGATCTACCAGGACACCATTGTCGACCAGACCCGGGTGGCCGCCATTGCCCGGGAAATTCTCCAGCTCCAGCTCCAGCCCCAAGAGACCGAGGGGCCGGCCGACGCCCCCGATCGTACATAACCCACAAGCTCCAACTGCCAACGCGCCCTGCCCCCCACGAAGCAGCCGGGGACATGAGTCGCCTGTCGCTCCGCCCCCCGCCGATCGCCAGGAAGGGGATGGACGGGGGGGGGGGGGGGGG